ATGCCTCCAATTTGAAAGGCTGCAATCACAGTAAACACGTACATTATGGTGGTCACTGTGTACGGACGTGCCGTTTTGTAGTGGAACCATACCATGATCATTGCCAGAAAAAGTCCGCTTGCAGTGAGGATCACATAGAGGGTGATCAGTGTGAACTTCTGCATCTGTGCCATTGCGATTGCAGCTGGGTATGCAACCACGCCCTGTCCGGCACCGGTGAATACCCTGTCTCCACCACGTGCGCGCGTGGTGGAGACAGGGCGCTGGCTGTGCACGTGGTGGAGACAGGGTGCCGGGTGCCGGTGCCGGGTGCCAGTGCTGGGTGCTGGCTGCGCGCCTGGTGGAGAGGATTTTTTTGCTTCCCCAGATAGCGAGCTATGGGGTTCTTATTCCCGGATAGCGAGGCTATGGGATTCTTACTTCAAATAACAATGTGTTGCCGTGCGCGCTTTCCAACGGAGGTGGGCGGGTCTTTGGCTTCTCGCCACTTTCACAGATGAATCTCCAAGGCTTGCAGTAGAAAGCTGTCTTAGCACCGTGCTCGTAGCTCACTTCTTCTGACAGTGAGTCAGCAGATTGAGTGCTCTCACTTCGACTGTCATCCAGCATCAGGGCTGCGAGCCTATCTTCCAGTGTTGGCTCTGCCGGTATTTCAATTGCCACGCGCAGCGCGTGCGCGGAATCGGCTTTCACCATTTCGATGGCCTCCCAATATTGTCTGTTTGGTCAGTCTCTGGCGAATGGAGCGAAGGAATCTGACTACGATCGGATGCGAGACACACATGTGTGTCTGACTGCATATGTCTCGTCATTGTATCATTTACATCACATGAAAGAAAAACAATGGACTCCTTTCAACAACCTATGTCTTCTTACATGCTTCATGACTGCATCATTCGCATCAACAAGTATCCATATGGAGATATTGTTGAATGGTAGTTTAGCTTCTGCAAACATTGATATGACGTGGACCCCCTGACAAATGTACAATTTCGAGGGGTCGGAAAATAGAATGATTGTGTATAACCAGCTGTGGACTCGCTGAAACATGTACCGGTACAATATCTATCGCTCGCCCCCTCGAAATTGCTCAAATTTCAGTGTATCAATTTTTACATTTTGACATTCAACAACACCTTCATGTGGATATGATTTGGTACATGTTGTTTTCACGTTAAACGCAACTGCAAAAAAGTCTCTATTTTAGGACCCCTTGGAAATGTATACAGGTTCAAATGGGGTCGAAAAATAGATCGTGCACACAATACTTGCAAAATGCAAGTATCCGACATATTCGGACATAACTAAATGTCCGAAAGTAGAGTGGGTGATACTTTACCCTCTCTCTCTCTGAGAGCCACTGGTGCTGGAGGTCGTGAGTTCGCGAAGCGACCTGAAACAACTCGGAAGCGCCACAGGTCCCCCCATCCCAAAGCAGAACGCCTACGCTGTCGACCGCGCGCCACGCGCGTGTCGACAGCGACCCGCCTGCGGCCCCCCCGGCGAGTTGGCCTGCCTCGGACGTCGCGCCGTCGGACGTCGAGCCGGCGTCCGGGCGCATGGAGGAAGCGTCTCGGTCTTGGACAACGCGTGTGTCAGGCTTCACCGGTTTTTTCGGGTTTTGCACGTCATGAGCTCCTGACCCTCCTCGGACGGACATGGGAGTGTATGAAGCTGTGGGAGACCTCCCAAAGACCCCTTGGAAAGAGGAAAACGAAAGAGTCGTTTTCTTTAGGGCTCCCTTTATCTAAATTACATCAGACCTAATAGTTGCAAAGCATCAAAAAGGATTGAAGGAGATGAACAACAGAGCGAGGTGGTTGTGTATCGCTGCTAGTTGCCCCATCTCTGATTGAGGGGATTTCTTGAAAGTCATAGAAATAACGCCAATTCTGTAGCCACACCGGCTGAGACTCTTGAACAGGCATGAAATTCACCTTCACAAACTTCACAACGACGATTTCACCGGACGATTTGTCAGATCAGCTCAGATACATGGCCGTAACATGGCTATATAGTATAAGGGCGCCTTTGCACGCTTCTGCTCACATCAACAAGATGAATGTCTGCTTCAAGTGCCACAAAACGAAGCGGGCCGTTCTCCCAGCAGTCACAAGACGGGGTGCCGAACTTGGAGGATAGGGGTTGCCCAGAACATCCACTCACTGGATGGGACAGAAAAACCACCCCTTTGAAGCTCCTCATGGTCTAAATGCTTGATAACATTCCCAGTTCGGGTCCAGGTACCTCCTACCTGGTAAGTGAGTGAGTGTGGGGTCGAGCTGGGCGGATGGTCGACTTTCAGGATCGGCCCTGGAGCCTCGACCCCAGCGGCTCACCCGTTCCGACGAAAACAGGTCCGCTGCGGCTGCGGAAGGTTCGGTGCTCCTGGAGTCTTCGGGTCTTGGATTCCTTTCGAAGATCGGAGGATAGCTCTCCAAAAGATAGATCTATTACAGAAAGAAACAGGGCTGAGCAGGCATCCCTGTGCATCCAGCATCCCGAAATAAAGATCACCATTCAGGACAGTCTTAGTCTTGAGTGTATTGTCTCTCTATGGGAAGCTTCCACAGATTGTCCAACAAGAACACACTTTGTGCGAAATTGCGTTTCAGCCTTCGCTTCGTGCTGAGGTCCCTGGCAGCACGGAGATATTCACTTGGCCTGGCAAAGGTTATCGTGATTTAAGGTCCTTGAAGGAGGTCACTTGCACTCAGCAATCCCAACAAGTCATATCCCCCAGGGCTCCAAGTACCTTCTGAGAAGGTGGGACTGGGGTGGGTGCCAGGAGGGTCCAAACACCTGAGGAGGTACGCCTGGAGCCCCAGGGATCCAGAACACGCCATGAGCATAGTTACCATCGGATAAGAGGCACACGACTCATGCCAAGTCCGTCCGAGTCCTTCTGTCGACGTCGCTGTGGGTGGGTAGACCCCACTAGTCCCAGCGAACCGAAAACCTTGGATTCCCTAGGCCTCCAGTCGTACCGAACCTGAGCAGGTTCGGTGGGACGGTCAGGGGCCCGGGGGCCCAGCCAGTCGGGCCTCATACCGAACCGGTCGGGTCCGGTACGAAAACGGAGGTGTAGGGATTGGATGTCCAAGGAACTGGTGTCTTGGGGGATTTCACTGCAGGAAGGCGACCACTTCCGTTCCCACCGAACCGTTCCGCCGAACCGTTCGGAGCGGGTCTTCTGTTCGACATGGAGTGCGTGCTGTGGCACTGTGGGAAATCCCTTGGGATCAAACATGATGTTCGAAGTGCTTTGACCAAATGAAATCCCCCAAACATCCAACAGCTAGTCCAACACTCAGCTTGCGTATTTATATGGCAAACCGTTTCATGTTCCTGAATTATTACTATACAGTCGAAGCCATTACATTCCGGGGTCAATGCAGCTAAATATGATAGTATGGATGAGCATACCCCAGACACTCCATGTGCCATATTTGCCATACATTGGGGTTGTTGAAAAGGGATATTGATCAGCATATATGCCAGTCCAATGGAGTGTCTGGGATACATTGACCTCTGAAACCACCCCTATATCTCTATTGCTAGTCATGCTAGTTCCACAGAGTGTCTGGGGCGCTCTTCTGGTCCTCCTCTTGTCCTCCCCTATCCCTCATTCGCAGGCCCACCGTGCCTCCAGCCTTTTGCCGGATGTCATTGATGGTGGCTCCTCCGGGGCCTAAGCTTCGCTTCACCAAAGCTTCAACGCCTTCAATCAGATCTTTGGGTCAGAACCTCTCTGCGTCTTCACCTCACCCAGTCAAACCATGGGTCGACCTCAGATCGAGCTAGCTGTGTTGGACCATGGCTGGGGGTCCAAACACCCGGAACACCCGGACCTCACCCAGCCAGGGGTGGATTGAGAGTAGATAGCGCCATCCTCAATGTTTGGTAGTTTATAGTGCAATCCCCAAGTTAGGATCCCCCAAGTCCTTGGCTTTTCCTTGTCCGGGTGGTGTGGTCCGTCTGCTAAGAACTAGTACTGGCAAAGTGCTTCACCCTGGAAAATGAACATGGAACCTGAAAACCACTGGGTTATAAAGGAAAATCGTCTTAAACAGTTCCATATTCAAATATTTTCAGGTTCCATGCCCAAACACTCCATCTATGCCATATATGCCTACAACTATGCCGCCCCATTGACCCCCCAAACTTCCCAAACCACCCCAATGTATATAGAGGCATATATATGGCAGTCCCATTAGTCGCGTCTGGGATGTTCATCTTCCCGGGTGTTGGCAGCTGTTTTCTCCGGTGAGTGGCCAGGGCCCAGGGTCGAACCACGGCACGGTGCTGGTTCGTTTTGCCCTGGCACCGCACCGCAACCCGTTTGGGCTCCAGTGGTACCTCCAAATCGGTTCGGTATGACTGGACCCGACTGGCTGGCACCCACCCCAAACACCCCACCTCAGAAGGTGCTTGGAGCCCTAGGGAAACCATCGTCTCAGGAGGTAGTTGGAGCCCCATAGGGTTTGATGATGTTGGTCTGATCAGCATGGAGTTCCACGCAACTTTCGATGTTATGATCATGGTCGGTGGATGATGTTTGATCAAGACCTCTGACAAGAGATGCTAATCAGAATGTTCCTCTGCTGCAGGGGTTGGGGTAGCACAATTTGTGCACGGTGTGTTACTTCTAGTAGGCACATGAGTGTCTGGTCAAAAACACACCACATTTGTCTGGCTGACATTGATGCACAGGCTGTTGTACGAATAAATATGAATTCACAGTGTCTGGCTGCAATTGAAACTATAAAATCATGTGTGCTGCCACGCTGTTCAATGGAATTATCCCCCATTCTAAACGGGAGAAACATTTCACAAGACAGCCATGATTCATGTATCCCAGTATCTGAAGGACTTTGTAGTAGGTCCAAAATGGGGGAATACCAACATGAGGACTTACTGACCCAGGGATGATCTCAACGATCCAGCTTTGGTGTTTCTCGCTCTTCCCGTCAATTGGTTCCCAAATGTTCTCAAGAAAAACCGCCTCCCCAGGCTGCTCCAACAAAACTCCAAAGCTCTTTTCCATCACGGATCTCTGCAAAAGGACTGCACTGCCCAAGTGACAACGCAGCGAAAATCCATTCGCTGCCAAAGCAATCTGTTCAAAGAGGCAGCATGGTTCAAAGAGGTGTCTCATGGAGGATCCAGTTGAGGTCTACGCATGGGACGCATGGTCTGCGGGAACATATTGATGCAAATGTTGCGAGATGCCCTACATGCCCTAGCTTTGCGGCAGGCTGTAAGTTTGCCTGCGAACGTTTGAAAAATTCCGGTGAACTATTCCCGGTGTACAAGCTCCTGTATACATCTTTTGAAGGGAAACGTATCCTCATCTTTCCAGGGGGCTATTTTTATTGCCTCGACACCCGGCAAAAAAGAACAGACCTTCTCTGGAAAAGGACACCTGCACTGGACATCCCCTGGACTGCTCTGAAAGCCTTTTGGGCACATTGAACATACTGGAGAGTTAGTGCGGTCTATCTCTGCTCTCCAATCCCCATAAAATAGCAGCTCTAGGAGGTGAGAACACTTCACAAAAAGGACATCCATCACCGCAGCACGTGCGACCGTCCCACCGTCCACCGTCCACGTCCCACGCACCGAGACCTCCGAGCACTTGCGGCGGAGACCCCCCGCACCGCGGAGACCGTCTCCGCGGGCTCAGACGGAAAGGATCGCGGCGGACCTCGAGGTCTCCGCGTTGCAGGCGCTTTGATCCACGTCGTTCAACACGGAAAGGTCGAAGCCCTCGGGCGCGGGGGGGATGACGGGCCGCCGACTGCCGAACGCCGACGTTCTTGAGGGCCCCAATCGGAGAGAGACCATGCGCCCTGAGCGCGGCAGGAGGTTCCAGCAGAGGTTGAAGGACCCGAACGTTCGACTATCCCAGTTGGGTACCCCAGGTTACGGGTCCTATAAGGATCTATTTACGGTCACTCAACGGTTCGGATGGGTGAACCGCTGTTCGGCGCGGACGGGTTTGGGACCCACTCTTCGGCGCTCATGGCAGGCCAGCACTCCAACTGATCGGCAGTTCGTCCTGGCAGTCCCATGGAATGTATGGGCTGAACATGAACAGAATCCCAGTTCAGGTCCAGGTACCGACCCCTACGAAACGGATGGTCGACTGCCGAGGTGAGTGAGTTCGGGGCTGGGGGATCCTTGCTCCAGGACAGGGAGGTCACAACAACGAGGATTTCGAAGCTCCAGACTTTGAGCCACAGCCATTTAAGGAGAACAAAGTTATACACCACAAATGCTTGACACGTTTAGGAAGGGGAGAATGATGAAAAGGCTTCCTATAGCGCGCTTCCTAGCTTATAGTCTGTTCTTTTTTCTATCACCATCTCAGATCTCCGAGACGGCTTCCTCCACCATCTGCCGCACCAGCCATCTGTAGCGGCAAATGGTTCAACTCAAACATTCATGGACCCTCCCTACGCCGTAAGTAGGGCTCGGACCCTCATATTGGAGAGATCCAGTATCTTAAGATCCTCTTGAATCCCTGCGTCCGCGTTGAGGGACCAGGGAACTGTCTGTGTGGAGTGAAAGATATTACACAAACACTCCATGGGACCGCCATATTTGCCTGGGTGGTTTGGAGGGTCAATTGATCGGCATGGCAGTTGGCAGTCCCATGGAGTGTCTGGGTTCTGTCATGACACTTCTCCAGTGAAAAACACCGTCTCCGCACCCGTTCACGGCCTCTTCCTACCGGCCTGTCTCCCGCACCAAAAGAGGACAGAAGAACTAAGTCGCCAATACCAGACACTGAAAGATATGAAACATTACTATATATAATAAACCATCAAGAGTATAGGTACCAGGGGGCCCCCAAAACCATCAAACACATGTTTCTTTTCCCTATATAGCAAAGTAGCAGGGTCTTTGTATGTCCAAACGCTCGAAGTTTCATCGGAAACCGGTCTGGGCCGCTGCTAGGTCGTTCACATCCGCCCTCCCATCCGCCCCCGACGCCCTGGCCGACGCACGACCCATGGCCTTCTGTTGTGCGATGCTTCGCACCTTCTGCACCAAGGCCTGCAGCGGCATGGAGCGATGACCGGTTCCCTCCCCCGGCAGCGCAGCGCCGCAGGCGCAGGCGCAGCTGGGGCGATGACCGTGGTCGGAACCGAAACCGTATACCTCGGTTGGTTCGGGTGGGACGGGACGGGACTGGGGGCCCGGGTGGCCAGTTGGGTCAGGTCTGGAGGTATGACTGGAGCCCATTTCCCAAACCTGGAACCGCATGGGTCGAAGCCACGCGGCTCGTCGCGTTCCACCTCCGACGTAGGCGACGTCTGGTTCATGCTGTGAAGCCTTTTTCCGGTTCCGGAGGCCCCGGGTGAATGGTCCAAGGTGGAAGGTCGCCCCCATTCTCGCCCAGATTCCATGGGATTTGCGAAGCCGCAAAAGGAATTCATATAGTTCGCAAAGGATTGAAGGTTTGGCTGTGCCTAACAGAGGCGAACACAGGTTCAACAACCAGTACTAAAATTGGCCAAACCAGCAGTTGGAGTGTGTACAGAGCCCTCTCTTGGCATTTTTTGTTGCGCAAAATATGAGACACACACACACACACTGAGACACACACGAGATATTGCGTACGGAACTGATCGCCACAAGCCCTGAAAAAGCCCAAGTGAAAAAATTGCCTGGGTAAAACAGGTTGTCGAAAATGGGTTTCACACACATACACATGCATTCAGGACCTTCAAAATGACCTAACTAACTAGATCTTCGGATTGGAACAACCCGGCCCGGGTGGACACACGTTCGCTCACGTTCGAACGGATGTCAGCTGCAGTGTTCGATGTCAAGGTCACGGTGGTGGATTCTGAGATCATCGTTTCTTGCCCAATAGGATCCGTTTTCGTACCGAACCGACCCGGTTCGGTACGACACCCTCGAAACCGACATGTCTCAGTGTCGAACACATCACCTGAAAAGGTACGACTGGATCCATAATGGTTGGTGGTTTCCGTTTACAAGAACGACCCGTTTCCTCTGCTCCAAGCTGGAACGCTGCATGAATAACATCATTCGTCAATCGCATGAATCCACTTCTTTGGGGAGGGGATGGACTCGGGCCAAATACAAGAAAACAGCATGTGTCAAATAAAAAAAATCGACATGATTCGACAGCATGTCTTCTTCTTCTGTTCTTCACATGCTTCACATGTCTTCTTCACCTGGCATTTTCGATGTTTGACACCTGCGTTACACGAGGTCCATCGTCCGTTCACCGTTCACCCGGACCGGTCCGGTCGGAGAGTCCGGATGAGACGTCCGGGAGAGTCACGGTCTTTCGCTGTCTTCAACGAAAGCGCCAGCGCGCTGGAGGCTGAGGGACCTTTATATGGAGAGGTGTAACAATCCACAGCTTTTTGGATCTTTTTGGGTCAACGTCTGTCCCAACTTGAAAAGTATGGTCCTGTCTGACCGTGGGTTGAAGGACAAGACCTGACAACACGGTTGACGAACCCCACCGGGCCGTGGGGTTCGAACCACCCCTCGTCACCGAACACCCCGTGACCGCCCCGCGCGGCTCTGACCGGTGCAGACGCCGCAAGCGCGCCTCGTCGCGCTTCTGCTGCCGGGTGAAGATCCACAAGCCCGAGCCGTTGGTACCTTGGGAGACGCTCCACCGCCAAGGCGGAGCGTATCCAAGCTGGATCCCACGACTGGATTTGGGTTGATTGAACTTCCACCTGTCGGATGGACCGAAGGCGTGATGTTTTTTATAGGGTGACACGGTGACACAGAGAGTGGGGGAATCATCTGTTCAATAGGACTCATAGGACTCAAAAAGAACTCAGAAGTCAGATATTTTTGACAAATCCCTAAGGTGCACTCAGTCTCCCTGTCCTCGGCCTTGAATGTCAAAATGCATCATCTGCTTGTCATAAGCTGGAGCACCCTCCCCGCTAACAGCGCCCCCCTCAAACAGGTTAAGTTCAAACTAGGAAAGTGAGCTCGTTGCGGAGCAAAGTTGCACACATGCATCAAAAAGGGAGGGAAAGCAAGCATAGCCGTCAAAAGTGATGGGGCGTTTCAACATATTTTTGTTGCTATACAGTACCACCTTATTTGCGGTCACTCGAAAAGATTCTGCTCACCTTGAGTGCATTGGCTGCCTGGTGATGGGCGGTGTTCATTCCACAAGCCTTGTCAGCGGCCGCCCTTGGAAGAAATTACTTGACCCACTACCGACCACCATTTTACTGCCAACTTGCATGGTACTGGCATCTTTGATCAGGCCAGGGGTGGTTGAAAAGGGCTCAATGTAGGCATATATATCCCAGACACTCCATGGAACTGCCATATATGCCGCCCCATTGACCCCCCAAACCACCCCAACTGATCGGCATATATGGCAGTCCCATGGAGTGTTTGGGTATTATACGAATCCCATCCAAGTGTTTGGGCAAGTGACCTCTGTCGACCGAGGGATCTCATCCGATTGAAGAACCTCCTGCAGGTTTATCAAGTCGCGCCCGCGGCTCGGACGCTGCTTCTTGTTCGTCCCAAAACCAAGAGGCCGGTGCCGGTGCGGCAGCCGCCCTCAGCTGCCTCCTTAGGGGCGCCACCTGGCGAGAAAGGGGTCCCAACACCACCTTCGGCATCCGCCTGTGCGAGGGAGGATGCGAAGAAGTGGATTCCAACAAACATGCCAACAGGAGGTTTTTCATTGACCCAAACGTTCGACTATCCCAGGCCAGGGTACCCCAGGTTTTCCGGGTCCTATGGTCCCGGTCACTGGCTACCTCTCTTGCGGGGTGGTGACAGAAGAACAGACCTTTCCAACCAATCACGTCGATGGGAAATCACCCTCAGGAAGACTGTTCGATTCCTAGAAGTATGCATGAGTCCTGCACATGGCTATTGATTCATAGTGCCCATCGGTTGAACAGCAGAATTACTGGCAGTGGTGGCAACACCTAGAAATGGGTGTATTAGATTTCCCAGATTGAACCCCTGGAAGAAGGGAAATAAACAGACTCATCGACTCAGTCTCCGTTCAAATACACACCCACATGTTTACACGACACCCTGTCATGGGTCTAAGACGGTGTTCTAAGAAACCCATGCAGTTGTAACACCAACATCCTTCACCACATCAATGTTCAACTCCTCCGACTCCCAGACACTCCATGGGACTGGCATATGCTCCATACATTGGCCCCTAAAACCAACCACCCCTGGCCGTTTCTCGGCAGTCCTATGGCAGTCCCAGACAGGTTGTGTCTGGGACTTCCGGCGGCCCCACGACGGCAAGGTCCCACGTCGCCGTCGCCCGGCCACGCTCGACGCGCCGTTCGTAGCGCCTGAGATCAAGGCGTAGCCCTCGGCCTCGTTGTAGTCCAAGACCCAGTAGGGACCCGCCAAGGCCTCGGCGTTTTTGCACGTGGACCTTGATCAACAGTTTCTAGGACTACTAGCATTGACATAGGAAAACCAATTCAGCAACAACACGCAGCTGAGGATAAGTGAAATCAAAAAAACAAAACGCAAACACACAAACATATAATGACATAGCGTGCATAGACAAAACAAAACTTAATGCATCTCTCATCTCACAAACCTAAACAATCCATGCATGGAATTGTTGCCTACATGGATCGGTGATGGGTGGTTTTCAAGATGTTTGAAGTTTGAAGGGTCAATGTACCAGCAGTCACAAAGGGGTGGTGTTTAGTCCTCAAGTGAGTGGATAATGGGCACCCCTAACCTCCATTAAGCAGCCCTTTGTGACTGCAGGTAGTCAAATATTCCATAATATTCCATACCAGGACCTTCAGTCAGTGACTAAGCTTCGTTCGATCTCAGGACTTTCAGTCATGACACGACATGGGTTAGAGGCCACTTAGAAACTCCAAAGAGGTCACAGAGTGAAGGTCCTGGCAGATCCATGGATTGTTGAAAAAAAACAAACGCACACACACACACACACACCGCACACCACATATCACCACATCATTGGTGGCTTCAACTCTTGAAATCTACGGGTCAGTTGGTTCAATCATCCCAAGTAAAGGTCCAACACGAAACATCTCTGATACCACCCCCTTCAAACAAAGTACATCTGAAACCACCTCTCTCTTCCCGCGCGCCCCTTGTTGACCGTGCGGCCGTGGGCAAGAAGCACGGAGCGACCTCCAACTTTCCTCGAGACTTGTCTACCACCTGCAGAGCAAGGAGACCGATAGGACAGCGGAGCTCGGAAGAAGGAACCATATCCCAGACTCCATCCCTAGGGATCCAAATACCTTCTCAGAAGGTGATTGGAGACACTCTTATGTGGGTTTTGAGGGTCCAAGTACCTTCTGAGGAGGTACTTGGATCCCTAGGGCATGGGACTGCCAGGACGGACTGCCGATCAGGCGAGGGCTGGTGCCAGGGGGGGTCAGTCCCATGGAGTGTATGGGTATGGGGTCAAGGACGACGCGTCCGACCTGGAGCAACATGTCTGGGCAAGATGATGCAAGATGACTGGTCTTTAGAGATGACACTTGACTGGTCTTGTGTGTCCCAAAAGCCCCAATGCAGTAGAAGTCCGCCAGAGACGGATAACGAGGAGGAGAAGGTATGATGATGAGCAGGAGGTGATGCATGAAGTGAACCATGGGATGCAAACCCTCGAAGAACTGCGCGGCCTTGGCGCACAGCGTCTTGCCGGAGTCGTGCGCGGTGTGGGGTGCCGCCACCTCCTCCGCATGGTTGTGGACGCTCACGTCCTAAGCCGGCACGACGCCGCCAGCACGACGCGGAGAATGAGGACGACGACGGGTTGAAGCCACTCACTACGAGCCGATGTTCGACAGGGTCGGCCAATGTCTGCGCGGGACATCGGAGAGTCGACTGACCCTAAGACGGTCCAGGGCCATCCGTTTCGGAGGTCCTTAAAAGGACTCCCCCGGGCAACGACCAGCCACGAGCTGGTTTCGTACGAACTCACCTCCGAACTCGACCATCCGAAGTACGGAGGTACCTGGACCCTATGGGTGATAGACTAGACTCCGAGTAAAACTACGTACCAGCAAAACAATGGGACCAAATGGGACACCGTGCAGTTGAGAATCGAAATGAAGCAGAAGTTTGAGAAAAGAAACACTTGCGAAATGCAGCATCTCTAGGGATCCAAGTTCCTTCTCCGAAGGTGGGACTGAGGTGGGTTTGGAGGGTCCAGGTGCCTTCTGAGGAGGTACTTGGATCCCTAAGGCATCTTCCAGCAAACGATTGATTTCCTGCCGTTGAAGCTCTACCAATGTTGCATCGAAGCTCTAATTGATGATACATAATATGATACCGTAAACACTCCATGTACGGCATATTTACATACATCGGGGTGGCTTTACGGGTCAATGTAGGTAAATATGCCAGTCCCATGGAGTGTTTGGGAACATACATATAAATAGTTTCAGTTGTCCATTCTGAAGTCAAATTGCTGGACAACAAAAAGACTCGCCATTCCGTCATGGCCTGACGTCTTATATCTGTCCCTAACTAGAATAGATTGACTCACCCCTCTTCAACCACCCCTGACCTCATCGGGAGTCATGTGCCAGTCATATCCCATACACTCCATGTATGCCATATATGCCTACCTACATTGACCCCCCAAACCACCCCAATGTAGGCATATATATGGCATACATGGAGTCTATGGGTATGGCGTGTCTGTGTTGAAACGACAATCGAGAATACTGCAACACCGGATCCAGAGTTCTCATCCAAAACCTCCCGGAGGCAAGCACGAGGCAAGCACGCCCGAAGGAAGAGGGAGATCCATCTGGAAACTGACTCCAAAAGCCACGAACACATCCAACTGCAGGAGGCTCTCAAAGATGACCAATCCATCTTCTTGACTGCATATATCCAACTACCTCCTGAGAAGCTGGTTGGGGTGGTCGGGGGTCTAACCACCTTCTGAGGAGATGGATTATAAAGTGCATATTGTCTCCCCAGTGGTTCCATCCCTATTCACTTCGTTGACATCATTCGGACAAACACATGCACACACCCCACGACGTCTGGGTGATGCAAAGATCACCAACAAAAACAGCACATCATATACCAAGACAGGTTAAGTGGCCTTATAGGACCCTACTGGGGTACCTATAGGATAGTCTATATAGGGTCATTCAACCTCTGTTGGTACTTCCCTATGTTTCGGTACCTTCGTACCTTCGTACCTGTGAGACGTGGACATCGTCTCTCCAAGCATCGTAGCCCCAGAAAGACTTCTTTTGCAGCTGGTACTCGGCATAGACCTCAGGCTGGTACATTGGAAATGGACGAATGGACATTGGCAACAAATGCCAAACCCAAAGACGTACTATAAGACACGTACCGTGAAAACTCACCAAAAAAGACCCCCAAACACGACTTTGCTCTATCAGGGGTGTTCTCCCAGTTGCCAAGTTTTTGGGAGGGTAGCCCAAATGTTACTTTTCTTCTACCTGTTCGTGGTCGTGCTGTTCCCGAAGTCGGGTTGGCCGGCAATGGCGGAGTCTGCTGAGTCTGCCGATTTGATCTCCCTCTTCTACCTTCAGCACCCTCCAGGATGCTTCTTTGAGGAAAGCGTCCGGACACGACTGAAGCAGGATGGAAGATGGCTTCCCGCGCCCCGATCCCGAAGTCGGGAGTCTCACTTTTCCCGGATCTTTGGACCTGCAGGACCAGCTTTTCAGTGTGACCAATGCAGCTGCACCATCCAATAGAACCCAGACATGACCTCTGTTTTGATAGGACAAACATGAAACCAAAAAACATCTTTTGGGTCTGGTTGATGGTCAAAACTAGAGGTCACTCAGGCTCTATAGGTTAATATTACATCCATGGTCAAAATCAGCTGGCCTATATAACGCAGTATACCAGTTGGTTTTTTCAATTGTGGAGGTCTTTGACCCAGCCAATCCCACAGAAGCTAATCCATGGCTGGCACCGGGTGCCCTCATCTGGTTATATAGATAGTTTCAACGAAAGCAAACGAAAACATATCGAACTCCGTGGGTGTCTGCTCACTGCTCGTGCCAAGTAAAAGATCTGAATATGATCTGAAAAACCAGCCACCCCATCATGTTGTATCTATACCAAGAGGCACACCGGTTCTGGCTTGCAGGCAAGTACTTCACCGGCATCCTCGGGCCAACCAAACACCACCGGACGCGTAGAGCGGACGCTCGGGCCACTGCCACCGAGCCGTGCCCGGACGTTTTGGCACCCGTCCCTTCGTCCCTTCGAGAAACGGTTCGGGACGAAAACGGAGGCCAGCTGCGGGCTCATTTCCAGCAGAGTCAGAGGTTGAAGAACCTTATATATATATATATAGACTATCCCATAGGTACCCCAGAATCGTCCTATAAGGTCACTTAACCTCTGGATTCAATGAAAGCGGGCTGCGGCAGCTCTGCGCACAACCAGTCACGGTCTCACGGTACCGGCAGTTGTACGCTGTTTCACGCGTGCAGCGTACCGGGATGGGGGGAGATGTTCCAAATACCTATAGGATCTATCGCATGTCGTCGGATTGCTCCAGCCTCGTTTACTACTCCACAGCTAGTCAGTGGGAACAAAAAATACCTTCGTAGTTTGGGGGCATTTCACTGATTTACAACTTTGTGTATATCCCATTGTCAGGGCCCAGTCCATGGATGATAATGGTTAGGTTGCAGGCTTTCTCCAAAATGATGATAACTGTTTACCGACGGCTCTACAGGTAACGGGAGAAACCACCAAAAAATACCTATAACACCTCTATTCAACTCGATCTGGTGGTTTCAGAAACACTTCAACAACTACAAAAATGACTTCCCTCTTAACATCTCGCTGAAGCAAAGAAGAATCACCGGCAGCGGCCCGAAAGGTAGCCAGTTACATCCATGATCCTGTGCACGAAAGGGTCACCTGTGCACGTGGAAAGCCACAGGCCAAGGGTATCAAATCCCAGTCCAACGGCAAACCGGGCTATACCAGGACCCCCAAGGGGTGGCTAATGGACACCCCTTAACAGCTAAGGGGCTACAAATAGACACCCCTTGGAGGGTCCTGGTATTGGTTATAATATATAATCTGGCCATCGCGGAAACCCACACGCCAAAATGCTGCTGCTGGATGTACCAACGCTTGGAGATGAAGCTATCGAGGTCAAAGTCCTGGCAGGCTCGAACCAGCTCTGCACCAGTCATTTGTGCCCAGTTCTGCATCATTCTTCACCCAAAACCGGATGATGGATTATGTCTTGGCCGTATTCGTGGAACAAATTAGCTTTCGGATGGCGTATGATGGCGTTCATGTTCATGGTGGAACCACCAGGAACTGTCGCCCTGTGAGTGCAGCGGTGAGAACACTCCTTGAAATGATCATAATTTTGGGAGTGTCGTACCCGGTCAACAACTCTTCCGAAGCCAACAACTCTTCTGCCCTTCTGAGACTTCATGGCTTCATGACTTCCTGCGCCTCGCCCCTTCGACCCGCCTTCACCGTCTCGAAGTCCTTGGGAGGACAGCTGGAGGTCGTGGCCAAGAAGCCCTGGGCCTGACGAAGAGCGGCGCCACCGTCGGCCCTCCGCAGCCGACGTGTTCGGACCCACCAATCGCGATGGAGAAGGAGGAGGGTTTTGGGGTGGAAACCACAGGGTTTTCACCTGTTTCCCAAGGGAGAATAACCGATGAGCAAACAAGAAGCCAACATATGTCAACATGACCACACATGATGTGTTTCCTTTAGTCGTTGGAAACATTTTGGAAGTGGTGCCCGCCCGCTACTACCTCACCAAGAAGGACAGGGCTCTCAAAAATGCCATTCCATCTATTCCAACACCACCCAAATATATCCATCAATTGCATTAAAGATGAATCATCAATACAAATAACATCGCCATTATTTCCACGTGATGTCTATGACCTACGAATTTCTTCTCCACACTCCCTATCAACTCATATTGAATCATATTGAATCCTATCCTAGGGCCTTAGGGTTCCCGTCCCACATCCTCAGAAGGGTTGGGACTTGACCCCCAAACCAAACCATCCATCCTAGTCACCTTTACCGAGTTTCGATAGTACGACTGGCGCCCAAATGGGTAAGGTCAAGGGAGGTGAAGGCAAGGTACCCGTTGTGGAGAGCAAACAGTTGTGGCAGTGCGCTTTTTGGCCCATTTGCATCATTTGCTATGACAAATGAACTATTTATAGTAACTTATATACCCGTTATGTTTTTCTCAATATTGTACATTGTTTAACCTTCCCGGCCTTCCCCTCCCTACACGGCAAAGGCCTCACTGGTCTTCAGGCAAGCGCTTTGGTCATGTCCAGCACCAGGAGACCTCTTTTTCGCCATCATCCAGGGGACCCAAAACCGGATACACCTAAAAATTCATGTGAGCTGACCCATCTATGAGGACTACAGACACCCCCAAAAAGAAATTATCGACAAGTTAAATCCCTTTCACACTTGAGTCATGTAAGCAGCTGCGACTGCCCCTTTCAAAAATTACATGGACATCCAAACGAGGGAACCATTAGGCTCCGCAGGTGATGGATCAACATGTCCATTGAGAATCCTCTTCCCCAAAAAACAATGACCATGCCGAGGACGTCCATTGGCCCCGCAAAACCACTCACTCACACTACTTTCACCTCCACCATCCGAACGGCTGCACGTTTAATGGGAACCCTGTAGAGGAACACTGTAGAGTCGGGTGCCAGTCAGAAATGGAGTGAAGTGGGATCATGAAGACCTAAAACCATGAAACCCTGAGGCAGTTGGTCTTGTCATGTCTTGTCAACTCACGAACACAAAATATGGAGCTCGGTTGACTGCCGAGAAGCGGGTCCACCTGCGTCTCTTGGGAGGTGAAATCGAACTTCACCGGTTTGCATCCATCAGCCGAGCCACAATAGAGCCTTGGTCGGTGGTCCAAACCGGCACATGGTGGCTTGAATGGAACAACCACCCACATTGTACGAATCAAACAAATTTGAGTAGCGATCATGCATTCCAACGATCGTCAACGATTTTTCAAACTGTAGGCCCATGGTGACCATGATGTGATCCTTGAGAAGGTCTGCCTTGGTCTGCTTCGTCTCCACCCAAAAGCTTCCCCGACTCACCGCTGTGATACCCCGCTATAAGTTTTTGTGGCTGGGTGGCCGGATTCCTATGTTTGTTCAGCTGCTGCAACATAGCGCGTGCTATAGCTGAATGCAAGGCATCAAAAGGCAAACGCCTAATTGAACCTGTCTGGTGGAGTTGCAACAGTGGCACGCCCTGAAATGCACGAGTGGCATGATGACATCCTTTGCAATGTGCACCCATGATGGCAGGGCATTATGACGGGATCTGAGCGATTGCCTGGGATTGAGTCTGGCGGCCACAACGCATGCAAGCCTGACGACCCGGACTTTCATGGTGAGCTTGTTCTCCCGCCTGAGTACACTCCTAGTTCAGTCAGGTCGGGCCAGATTCCAGCCGAGATTGAAAAAGGATTGACTGCCCTGCTCTTGTTGTTGTGGAGCCTTACGGTGAATGGTGTGCTGTACCCATCTGCAAATGACTCTGACACAGCAGGTGGCTTTGATCCCTTCCTCTGCCCAGGCTTTTGCGCTTCGGAGAGCGAGGGGAATTTCAAAATTGCTGAGAAAGACTGCGCGCAAGTGCACGTTGTCCGTTTCAAGCCTTTGTTGCAAATGGTTCGCGGTAGGCACGCGTCCACAGATGCTTCCAGAAACCAAATTGTTTGGCCGTGTCATCTGGTCAGTGAACCAAATCGAAAGATGCACCAAGCGCAACTCGCTAGGCACGTTCATGATTTCTCGGATCTCGCCAAAGCGTGGGCGGCAGCCAACATATAAGGGCGCACGCTCTGCCTCTCAAAGCGGGCAAGTTCGCAAGGTCTGCTCCACCAATAAAGGAGGTGAGTTCCCCGCGTCCCAGAGACCCAGGTCTAAAGAACTCTAAAGTAGGCCGGCGGTGAAGGCAATCTTCAGCCCCAGCTGCAACCTGGGAATTCCGCCGCAATCTCAGCAGCAATCTTTCGAGCCTTTTGGGCGCCGCTGGAGTCGAAATGATTCGAAGCAGCCATTTTCCAGGGCAAGAATTCCAAGCCGCAAGCTTTTTCTACACGTGCTCAACCATGAACGATTTGCCAAGCGCAGAGTCAGCGAAGGTGGTTTGGGTCTCAGAATCTCAGCATCATCTTTGCAAGAATTTCCCTGCAGAATCTCGTGCAAGAAGCTGTCGTGCAATTCATCCACCATGCTCCATATATGGAGCTTGTGGCAAGCTCATATATGCCTGCATGCCAGCCAGCTTGTAATTTCGCTCGAGTTTTCCAACGCTGCCACAGAGACACTATCGCGGCTTGTGCCTCTTGGGTCGGGGTGGAGCCAGCCATGACAACTGCAGTATTCTGACCAGTGATTGGGTGAAGAACTCATTTCACGCAACTTGGCAAGCATGCAATATAGAGCCAACGCGCTTCCGAAGCAATTGCTGCACACATCACTCCGGCCTCGAAGACACCAGCGGCATCTTCAGCTAGAGGTCTGTCTGCAGGCTGAGCAGCCTCAGCCTCTCCTTCCTTTTCTGGATGTTCTCGTCAAAGCAATGAGACTCCTCACCTCGGACTCAAAGGACTATAAGGGTGGCTAGATCGCATAATTGAAGCGGTGGTGCAGTCAATGTCATGTTTTCTGCAAACCTCACAGCTTCGCGCTCGACGTCGACAGACTTTCTGCCGAGTCAATCTCACAGGTACGGCCCACCAGGTGTTGGTATTCACTAGCGCAAACATACGCCGCAATGCCGGCAGTAATTGTCATCTTCAGCAGCTTTGCCACAGCTGCAACGAGTGTCAGCCGTATCGAGGGCAGTCACGTTCAGAAGCTCTTGGCTTTTGCCACAGCTCCTAAAGGTACGAAGCTCAACTGTTGGATAAAAAACATGGTTCCAAAGAAACTACTTTTCTGATCTTAACAGTCTGCCACACGTCCGCCGGCGCGCCGGAAACAAGAGTACATCCGTATGTGTGGTTTAGGCATTGGCTTTGCAAGCTTGTCCTCGGCCCAGAAGTACAGGAAGAACTCGCTTCCAGCGTTGTCGCAGCAAACGCGTCGATCGCCAAAGGAGCCGGCTGCTTTGAAGACAATGCAGCCGAGGCACGTTGGCTTTTTTTGGTGCATGCTTTGCATTAGTTCACAGCTTTGGTGATGTGAAGACTGCCGCGTCAGCGGCGGTAGGAGCCGCATCCGGCAAGTCGAATCGACCAGCTCTGTGTTTTTTGTCGCAAAAGAAAGCTTGCCGTCTCACGGCGTGCCGCCTAACAGCGGCGTTCGCAAAGCAAGCATGGTGCTTCAGCGGAATCTTGAGCTTGCGGAAGCCATCTCGGGCATTTTCGCCTATTGACACGTCTCGATCCTGGAGGCAACGTGAGATTCCAGGTGCAGAAACAAGGTGTTCGTCGCTGGCATCGTGGTCAACTGTGTATGGGACCCAGGTCATCACTGTTGGACAATATTCTTTGTATGCACGTCAAAACACTGTACTCACTGCATCTCACTGCACTCCTGTCTCGTCGGTGCCTAAAGCCTAAGGCATGCAATCCATTTCAGCGGCTTTGTGTGATTCATGCTCTTCTCCAAAAGGCAAAACTCAGTTTACCCTCGCATCCTAAGCCACCGTTTGTTGAACTTGTGTGCCATAGATTATGTGTGTAGGTTGTTATGTTCTCAGAATTGTGACATAGGCACGGAGGATATTAACCACCCAAACCCCCTATGACAAAACTCTGGGAGGATACGTGTGACATAGATCAGGGACAATAAAAAAGAACCGCGCCTAAGTCCTGATCTCGTGTGCAGGCCTGCCATTCATGCTTTCATTTGTTGATAACTTGAACTGTTTTTGCTCGTTCACCTTCAACAGGTCCTAGCTCATTAGACCAGTTGGGGTCATGTCTGGAGTAGAGAGAACACCATGACATGGGCTTTTTGAAAAAAAGAGGCCACAAGGCCGTAAGTCACTTCAAGGCCGGTCCTAAGCGTCCTAAGTCATCAGACCGGGTGGTACTTGAACTCTAGGGACACTGTAACCAAATCCTCTCCCATCTGAACCAACCAATCGCTGACGAACTTCTCACCAGTTAGAGTTTTCGCCTCGAATTCGACCGCGCGGAGCATGCGTCCCCCGCGCAGCAGGTCGTTGCGCGGAGGCACATGCGGAGGTTGCAGTAGTTTGTCGAGAAGTCTGCAATGGAGAAGACCTTTGGGGATGGAGGGAAAAACATTGTTCAAGACAGCTCAAGAATGGTTCGCACCTTTCCCAAAGAATCCTCTGAAACTTCGAGCTGCCCGATTCACTTGGCAGCTTAGCAGTATACACACCCCTACCACTACCACTGCTACTCCGGCAATAAGCGTAAGCATATGACAGATCCAAGAGTATCAAGAATCCCAGAAATCCTAAGTGACCTTTTGAAGGTTCCTTTTCGTGACCCGTATAGGAGGCTTAAGTCACCGAACCGACCAGGATATCAAGTTATATAGGTCATCTTGAAGAACCAGACTCCCTGGAAGTCATGTGGATGGCATCGCCCCACACCGACCATGACATCAGAATACTGACCCGGTGATAACTCACTCTACTCAGCCGAATTGGTTCCAGGGCGTGCTACCGTGGACGCCAGAGGTAGCCAGGTCTCCCGGGACCAGGACCCGGAACAGTGAGAGGTACCCTGGCCTAGTTTCAGAGTAGATGGTATATAGCCAGTGATCTGGACCATAGGACCCCGGAAAACCCCAAAATTACGGCCTGGTCTAGGCAGACTGAGGCTTCTTCAACCCGTCAAGGACCCCCCTGACCTCGCCCTCGTTCACCCTCTTCACTCGGACGAAGTTCGTTCAGCACGGAAGCACCCGTTTCACACCGAAAAAGGACTCCCACGCCGATGGACAATCGGCCCTCCAAACGGTTCGCTGAACGGCTCGTCTCGGCTTCGCCCGAACTAAGCTTTCCTCTCTAAGTGGTATTTTGGGGTCATCCAATCCCGTCCACATCGAACTAGGACGGCTCCCGGGCCCCGTGGGCGCACCATCCACGAGCCGACCGGTCGCTTCGACGCTGAGATCTCGCCTCCACGAGCCGACCGGTCGGCCGTCGCTTCGACGCTTCGACGCCGAGATCTCGCAGCGGCCGGCCTGGCTCTCGCTGCATCCCGAGATCTCGCAGCTGTTGCCGCTGTCCACGAAGTCGAAGAGCATCTGGTCCGTGTACCTCGGATCAAGGAGAGACCAGCAGAGGTGGGTCAGAACCCTATAGACTATCCTATAGGTACCCCTGTAGGGTCCTATAAGGTCACTTAACCTCTGTTGGGAGAGCGAGAGAGAGAGAGAGAGACGGCAGCAAACAGCAGCAAGACGGCGTATGGGACCCCGGCCGAGACGCCGTCTTCGTTCACCCGGCAGACTGGGAGGGCTGGAGATTCGCGAAGACCGTCTTTCTGAGAAGGTGAGACTGGTTAGTTTCGCTCTTCTGACAGGTTTGGGTGTGAACAACTCGATGGTTTTTCTGTTTGCTTCCTTAGCGCTCCAGTCGTACCTTCGTTTCGAAGCTCAAAGTGAGGAGGTAGGCTCCAGTCGCCCTAGGGGAGGGCATTGAAGCCCCATGAAACGCCAACCTGCTAGCTGACTCGTTGGGGAATTTGGCGTAACATTAGACAGCTGGCTGTCAACTGCTGGGATTGGCATTGGCTGAACCGGAACCATGAAAAACAACATCTTCCCAACCGCGAGGCGCTCATCATCCGTAGCCACCTCATGCCCCTTGATCATCTTGATCCGCGGTGGGAACAGGTACATTTGGTTGTGAAGTACATAGACTACACATGCGTGGGCGCAGGGCACAGAGCTATAGACCACTTCCCCATTCTCAAGGTATACAGGGATTCCCCCAGCAACCAGGAAACGATAAATCACCAACAAAAGAAACAAGACTGGCGATCACATCGGTTGCGACGAGCATGGCAAAACAAAATCAACTGAACGTGGGTGTGGACACCGGTTCGGCAGGTCATCCAAGAGCATATCCACCTGGACCCTGCTTCAAGTACCTTGGAAAATGGGACATGCGAACAAAAAGCACCCAGAGCATCCAGTTACCACTATAGCTGGTAACCAGTGGTTCCAGTTCGACTAAACCAGTTCGACCGCTTCTGAATCCTGCCCACCGATGCACTGGGCCAGGTACCGGTACGACTCCATGACAGGTCGACTTGCTGCAAAGAAAGTGCACCATGCCCAGGTGCACCAAACCTCCAGGTGCAACGAACTCCCACACTTCATGCGTGGGTTTGAGTTCCTCCCCTGAAGCCCTCCGCCCCCCCCCCAAAAAAAACCAAAGGAAGACCATTTTTCCTCTACGTACGAACAGGGTGAGAATCCGCTTCCATGTTGGTTCCAGAGAATCCGCAGGTCGTCTGGCCATGCCATCCGCGGATGGAAATCGCCCTCACTCCGTCTGAGTCGCCGAGGTGCTTCTTGTTTCCCGTGAGCCGCTGGAATCCCAGACCGGATGAAGCATTAGTCGGGCTGTAGGTGCCGTTGTTGTGGGGGTCATGCCACAGTCCTGCACCGGTGCCAGAGTTCTTCTTGAAGAGCCACTAAAGCACATGGCTGTCTATAAAAGGTTGGAGGCTGAAACCAAACAAAAATCAGGGACAGGCCGGACAGTGGGTGGGCGTTTTTACGGCGCCGTGTGTTTTGAAACAAACATGGAAGTCGGCCAGGAGTGCTTACCTCGGTTCGAGGAACGATCCTGGATCCTCTTCTTGGACTCATAACTTATAACCTAGACAGTTATAATAGTTATAGGTACGATATCCCTAGATTGAAGTCTAACCTCTATTCAGGTCGGGTTTGATTTAGCTTGCACTTAGCTAACTCATCTATAACTCTATAGAGGTTAGTAAGTGCTCAGGTCTGACTTAGCCAAGTTGTCCAATCAAAGTCACTACTAAAATATACTTATACTTACAAGTCGACCGTAGACCAAGCGAGCAACCTACTACCCATGGAGTAGATAGGCCAGCTGGGCAGTCTGCTAGCAACTAGCACTGGCCTAGAATGTCCGGAACAAAGAACTTAAGACCTGCATCCAATTCTCCATGCGATCTATAGATGAGCCATGACCAGCTAGTATCCCAACATGCTAAGACTTAGTAATTATGTTTGGTCTCCTTTAAAAGCTGGCAAACAAATCATTCTTAGAGAGGAGAACACTCTTGTACTTTGGGGTTTCTTGGGTCACACGGTCACACGATGATTTTGATCATCATACTATGGAAGTATCCACTTAGAGGAGCATGGTTAAGATTAAAAACAACAAAACACAGCTTTTCTATGGCACCCCTCTCCAGTCGTCCCCTGAAATCAGCACGTCTTCGCTCTGACTCTGAAACAATCTGCTTATAGACTCAGCACGTCCCAAACAACGTCTCAGAGCGTGGGTGCACAAACACGTCTCAGTCTCAGTCGTCTCAACGGGTGAAGATCCGTCAGTTCGACGGCCGGGAGCGTGGCTTCCCCGTTTGGGCTCCTGGCCGACCTCCGTTTCGATTGTGGTGGTGGGGGGGTTCTAACCACCGAACCTGAGGATATGGGCCAGGAGCTGTAGGGAAAATCGTTTTACACACAAATACACCGGGACTCACTAACTAACATGCAAGTGGATGGCACCCCCCGTTTCTAGAGGAACGCAGTCTTCCAAGGGACCATGCCATCCACAGCCACAAGTGTAAACACAGTCCATCTGATGCCCAAGAAATCTACCCCATCTCCGATCTCGGAATGTCCTGAAGACTGTCCATCCACACGTGCCATCATCTCCGTCTTCACTTGCTCACAGGGCGCATTGGCCGTCACCGTCACCTGCGGCGATCGATCGCGACGAGGCTCGGCGCGCTGCGGAATTCCCAGACGCGACTAACGGGACTGCCATAGGACTGCCGATCAGGCCAGGGGTGGTGCCAGAGGGGGTCTGGCTTGATCGGCAGTCCTATGGCAGTCCCATGGAGTGTCTGGGATTTGGTGAGTGCAGCTGTCCTTCGAAGGAGTACTTTCTTCCCTCAGGGTGGTTTGAGGCATTGAGTACTGGTGGTGCTTCTTGACGAAAAAAGTCACGATCACAGATGACAAACATGGAGCCCATATGAGACATTATACGTTTGGACATTTTGGACCCATACCCATACCCTCATTGAAGCGGAAAAAATACCACAAAACACACCCGGACCAGCGCAGGGCCCGGGAACACATCCTGAGGGAACGGAACTTTCAACTCAAACTCCGACACTCCATGGAATGTCATGGAACTAAAGCCAAACGGTCCCAGGTGGAGGGTTCAGTCATACCGAAGTTCAGAAGGTACTCCTGGAGCCCAAGTTCGGGTAAAAAATAGGCCAGTCCCACTGCCAGTCCCAGTCCGTCGTATCACAGTGAAGCAACGGAATTGTTTGGGGCTCAGCCCATGAAACAGGTCAACGCCACGTGGACCTCTTTCCCAGATCATCCATGAAACGGCATATTTACCTACATTGGAATGGTTTCGGGGGTCAATGTATGTAAATGTGCCAGTCCCATGGATGGTCTGGGAAACAGGTCCAAAGAAGAACAGCGAGACCGTGGAAAGTAGTCCAACCCCAAGCTTTGTTTCGAAGGTGCGACTGGTGAGACTGGGGTCAGTATAAAATAATAATTTTGTGTTCGGAGGGTACAGTCATACCTTCTGAGAAGGGTACAATTCTATCAATCTGTACCAGCGGAACTCAAACCCATGCAACATGAAGGTTTCACATACAAAAAACATATGTCATATGTCTTTTGCCAGGGAAAACGCGGTCTTTGGTGGGACCCGTGCAGGCCTCTGGTAGCCATAGGATGCCGGTGATGCACCGAACCGAGGACTTCGGATTCTTTCGTGAAGAACTCGGCTTCGTGACTCCCGAAGGCTAAATCATGCTAACTCCCATTCAACCCAGACCATCCAAGGATGGAATAGTCGACACCTAAATGTTGATAATAATAACATGGAAAAACCTGGCAAGAACAAGCTGATCCAAGACCGCTTCTTCAAGGACCTGAAGAGTACCTGACCTCGAGAGGTCGTGCAGTCTCTGACCCAACGCGGCCTTGGGTCGCTCGGATGGTCCCAGGCTCGCTTTCAACCACAGCTCGTCCCAACCACCACGGGTGCCAGGCACCCCCGCTGCGCGTGCGAAGATACACGAAGCGTTGGGCGAAGCGTAGTTGGCACCGCGCCTTGCAGCTGGCGTGGATGGTGCTCGCCGAGCCGGGGCAATGGTAGGCGGAGGCCAAGAAGGGAACCGCTGCGGCAATGAGGCCCTTCATCACCTCGGACGGGGCCGCCGAGGTGATAAGGCCCGTTATATGGAGCCTTCCGGTCCAGGAGGCCCGGCGGCCAAATACAAGCAGGAGTGACAAGGGATTAATGATTGACACCAAATACAGCAAGATCCAAAATAAGCAAAGCCACATTGAACCTGACTCCTGTACTGAGGTGGCAAGTTATAGTTAATTATATGCGTGTATTATGATCACCTCCCAGTTTGGCCCTTTCAAAGCAGGGAAATAGACTGGTCTCTGCCAAGCCACTGCAAGGGGGTCTCCTTTTTGAAATGCACACCCATGACAAGCCACGCATGGGGACCGCCGTTGCCGGTGATATTCAGATGCTCTAAGACCCATATATGGCTATGGCGGGGGGTTCTCCATCTTCACTTCCAGCTGATTTTCCATGAGATAGATGATGACGTCCAAGAACATCAACTAACAACTGTTGAATTTTAACAGGCTGCTCCAGCTTCTTCAGTTCGTGACCTTTTGAAGGCTAAGTGACCCGAGTCCGGAGGCTTAGGTGACCTCAAACCAACCCAGGTTATCCAGTTAGGTCGAAGAACCAGGCTGTGACCAATGCTTTGGGACCCTAAGAATCCTTGGACTGTCCATGGCAGGGGTCGGACCCGACCTCTTCGCAGGGGTCCGGGGCCAAACCAAGCCCTATCCTGTTTGAGGGCCCGGATTCTTAGGGTGGTTTGATTAGATGTGGACGGGATTGGATGACCAAAACCACTATACCCAAACACTCCATGTATGCCATATATGCCTACATTGACCCCTCAAACCACTCCAATGTAGGCATATATGGCATACATGGAGTGTCTGGGATATAGTTCGGGTTGAATCAGTCGTTACCTCGAACGTGCCATTTCCCTCGTGCTTTCGAAGCCGTGCAGCCATCGTTGACCGTGCCACCGTGGGCCACCGTGCTCCGGTCTGACGTCTGAAGCGTGGATCGAACAGCATGCGGTGGTACTGTGATGGTCTGTGATGGGTTAAAAAAACATGGATGATGCACCATGTAAAACATCACACAGAATTTCTGAGAATCGACGGAGGGGTGCGAGGTCATGGTGGTCATGGTTTGTGTGCGGCTCTTTTTCCGTTGAACCACGTGGTGCCCCGAGCCCCACGAAGACCACCGTGGACTGGCGTTGCGCCCCCGTTTGGCGCGTACCGAGTGACGTGGGGGTGCCCACCACAGGTCTGGTGCCCTTATAGGTCAGGTCACCGAGAGGTCTGGTTCTAACTGGTCACCAAAAGAGACTCTGAGCAGACTCGAGGCCACGGTCAATATACTACCAGGACCTGAGCAGGCCACGTGACCCTTTCAGGATGAGGGCTACTTAGTTATAGGTCTATAGACTGGTCACAGATGACTCCAGTTCGAGGCCACGCACGGCTCAGGTCCTGGTAGTTGACCGTCCGACTCAGGGTCACTCAGAAGGGATCGATCGCGCCACGCGCCACGCGCCACGCGCCCACGCGCCCACGCGCCCCGTTCTGGGTCGGGACGAAGGCACTGCGGTTGCGGTCAGGTGGTCAGGTGGTCGGGATGAGATGCCCGTTCGGCCGCTGCTAAGCTCTGTCGATGGAGCCCAAGGGCTCCACGAAGGAGCGGGCGTTCTGGATGAAACAACGATGCCCAACCACTGAGTCATGGTGGCGCAAATATGGCCTACATGAGTCAATGACTAGTGGTTTCTGATTTGCGCCACCATGGAGCGTTTGGGATGCAAGACATTCAGGGCCAAAGTAGAGGTGGGCTTGGTTATGCTTGGGCCAACAATCCCTGATAGAACACGATATTTGGGGGAATCACCAGTCAATGGTGGTTGAACAAATATGATATTGAAGCCAGTAGAATGGCTCATCCGTATGCTCTGAATTTGTTTGATTCTCTATGTCGACACGACTCCGGAAGAAAGATCTCTCCAAAGCAATGCAATAGGCGCTGAGTCTGACCTCAGTTTCCATGCTTCTGTTTAGTGGGGAAACCCAAAAAGTTTAAGGATATTCACTGACTGGGTATGACGCTAAACTAAGTTTCAAAGAATAATGACATGTCACGTAACGTAAATTAATATTTCCTGCAGTTGTTGGAGGGGGCCTTTTATAGAAAACACATCCCACCATATCCCACCCCACTCCAATCCGAGCTCTCCTCTCCTTTTCTTGGCACTTCGAACTCTCCCCCATTGATCATACTCCCAGGGCCGACTCCCACCAAACTCCGCTCCAGCCGCTCCATCCACTCCACACGTCACGACCATACACATCGCGACTCACCAACAAAGGTTGAAGGACCCCACTATATCCCATACCCATAGGGTCCAGGTACCTCCTGAGGATGGTCTTGGAGGTGAAAGTGCTTCCAAAGAATGGTCGAACGGAGGGTCAACGGACATCCTCAGAATGGTGGACCCTTATAAGGGATATAGGTGATCCCAGGTGACGAGTCCTATTTTACGGTGACTTCACCTCTGAAGACCTCGAGACTCGCCCTCCGTGTTTCGTCGCCGTGTTTCGTCACACGTCGCCGTGGTTGGCGGAAACCGCCGCCGGAACCGGGGCGTCCGGGCCGATGAGTCCTCCCACCAAGTCGTGGGGGATGGGGATCTCCCGTGGAGTGCCCGGAGTGCCCCCCGTCGCCTCAGAGAAAGCTGGACCGGTACCGGTGGGGCGTCAGCGGAGACTGAGGAGGTGGGACGGAGACTAGGAGGTTGTGTGCCCATTGTGTCCAGTCAGAGCTTTTGAAGAGGTATGTCTGGAGCCTTAAACGGGAAAATGATCAGCCCAGCTAGCATCAAACTCTATCAACCCACTTAACTTCCCCCCCTTTGTGATGAAGTTTTTACACATGAGCGGCTGTATGAACCCAGAGTCTAACATATGAGGATTCCTGGCCCGGATCAAACGTGCCAACTGGCCCGGTCACGTTGGACAGTGACTGCCACAACGACGAGTGCGCTTCGCCATGCGGATCATTGCGAAGCGGATGTCGTTATGGGATAGGGTGAAGAATGCTCTTCGTGTTTTTCTCAATCTTCATGTTCATTTTTCACCCCATCGTGGTGGAAATTGTTATGTCAAACATGAGAAACACTTCCATGCATGTCCAGATCTTGGTAGAACACGAAGAACGACTCGTGTTTGTCGTGAGAGGGCCATTTGCGACTCCATGGGGGTACAAACGGCGTGGACTGTGTGACGTTAACTTTATTCAAAAAAAAAAAACACTTAACACGTGCGGGTGATTCATGCCACACTTTCTTCTATCTGAATCTTGGGACAAGTGCTCTTGGCAACCAAAGTACCAAAAGGTCGAACAACCGTGCGCTCCTGTGTGTTCTGATGGGGTTTGTGATATATGTTCCGGTTGCATGATGTTTTTCTTATCGATTCCATTTGTAGGCATCTACATATAGGGCTTGGGCGTATCCCATTACCAGGGCCTGTTTGGATGATGGTGGGCCTGGTTGCGGGCCTTTCCATGTCTATAAGATAGTGATGTTCTTGTGAAACTTGACGGCCCGTCATAGGTCTACTGAGTCTATTGGGACAGACCCTATATAGGGCCCTTCCTGGCATCCATCTTTTGGACTGACTCTCCTCCCCCTGTTGTTCGAGGCCAAGTTCCCCCGCGTTGGAACCGCCACCACCGCCACCACCGCCGCCTCCCTTGGGTGGCGCCTCAGTGGCTACGGCTTAGTGCATGGATCCAGCAAAATCAGGGCGTCCTGGCATCATTATGGATCCACATACCCTCTGTATTTGGGGAAGGTTTGGATGGTTTTTGCGCTGCGCACCGCCAAACAAAGATTTGGCCTGGTCGCAACAAGCAGCCTTGATCACACCCAGTCTTCAATCTCTGGCCCGGCATGATTTCCAATACCCTCCACTCATACCTCGTACCTAAATACGGTTCGGTATGACTGGACCCGACCTGGCCCGCATGGGCCACCAGTCCCATCCCGTCCCGTCCCGAAGCGAGTTACGGTTCGGTACGCCCAACGGGATCTGATGTTCTGCCCAGCCCACGAGTGGTCGAACTCGTCTTCCCTGCCGCGATCGACCAACCCGTACGCCAAACGGGACGATCGCCCGCCGTGGCGACGGCTGATCCGAAACCCACCTCCACGGCCCCAGAAATGGCAATACCCTATAGTGCAAAATCCTGAGTTGATTCGGTCATGCCGCAATGCCTAATTGGATGAATGGTGGTTGGAAGCCTATAGGGGTATACTTCGGCAAAGCCAAAGCATCCTCCTCCGCTTGGCCCGGAACAAAAAAAGTACAAACATGGTTGGTTATAGATGAGAACCCCATAAAGCTCTGCTGTTTAGAGGGGAATCAGTGAAGGGCTCGAATCCTTCTGGATCTTGTCTCCCTCCGAACCAGCCTAAACCACCCGGGCTCCGGGCCCTCCCCTGGGCCCTCCCAACACGCTCGGCTCCGAACCACAGCCAAACCACGCACCCCCAACCGCCTCCCCATCCGGTGGGCCGCAGTTGAATCGTCCGGGTCTCCGCACGCCGATGGGACAGCCCTTGGCCACCAAGGCGTCCTTGGTCGTGGGGGTATCGTGGGCTCGTTGTTCAATGAAGAGGTGTGAGGTGTGATCCATATATCATGTTTTTTTGATAGAAAAACGCATGGTTCTGTACAATATTGCTTTAATGCACAATGAATATGTTTTTTTTGCTGTCATGTGGTAACCACTGTTCTTTTTGGAAATGAGTTTGGCCTTGGCCTTGATCCAAGAAGCCTGCTGGCCTCCCTACTTTGAAGACCTGTCTTTTTTACAAAATGACCAACCTCTTCTTGCAAAAACCTTAATGTATGCAATCCAGATTGGTAGCACATGTTGTGTTAGAATGACCTGATCGATACATAGGCCCTTTTATATAAACGAAACAAACATATCCAGGTTATCAGCAAACAAGTGTCGAGGATAATTAAAACAAATAACCTACCCTAAGAATCCGGGCCCTCAAACAGATAGGGCTTGGTTCGGCCGCGGACCCCTGCCATGGAGGGTCCGACCCCTGCCATGGACAGTCCAAGGATTCTTAGGCTATTTGAAAAAACGCCATGCAAAAACGCCAATGACCATCGAACCACCCAACCCCAGAACAACGCCCAACTGCTCACGTCAACTCGCCCGCGAGTAGGGTGCTCTTGGGTCGACTGGAGTGCCCTTGGGTCGCTGCGTGGATCATCTGCTCCGTCTTGGCCAGGTCTCCGATGATCGTCACCTGGGAGGCATGCGGCAGAGGTGTTCACCTCCGGAAGCTCGGCGGAGCACAGGACCGCCGAATGGGTGGACCCCACAAAGTCCGCCGAAGGGGAGTTGACCGGTCTCCAGGGAGTCCAGTCCAGTCCGGTCCGGTCCGGTTTTTGCGGGAGATGTGAAGGCCAAGGTTGGACTTGCATGGGTGAAACATCAGTGACCAAGCTTCTTCGATCCCAGGGATGGAAGCCATTTTTGTAACTCCACTTGGATGCCCCGAAGCGGAGGTCGTGGGAAAAGACCTGTTGACAACAGCGCCGACGGATTTCACTCCAGAATTGAAGCAACCCAAAGTGATCGAGGAAGGACATGTCATGCCTTAATGCCATGGGAGTGCCTGGGGAGTGCGGGTGTATATTTTTCGAGGGGTTGGGGTGGTTTTGAGAGGCTTTTAGGATCTTTTAGGGTGAATCTTCCTGGTCCCATGGAGTGCTGTTCTAAAGGGAGTTTCTTCGTCGCCGGCTCTATTCCAGGGGCGAAACTGGTGTTCTGATTCAAAACCACCCAACAAATCGCTCAAGTCATGTTCCATTTTGTAGGGATCCAAGTAGCTCCTATAGATTTTGGATATTTTGTTTGGAGATGTTCAGGCCATCTCCATGCTTACATTGAGGTGATAACATCACACATCATCACCCTCTCAGAAGGTATACATGGATTCATAGGGGGCGACAGGTTCACAGCCTGGTATTACAAGGATAGCTGTACATTCCTTGGGATCTAGACGTCAGAATGTGCTTTTTGATTGAATGACTTTCGAAACTTTACACTGAATCGGTTGCCTCGGATGCAGGACGCTTTCTTGTGGTATAATTCAATTGAATCCTCAGTCACCCAGTCCAGCGATGTCTGATTGAGCTGGAACTGATTCAGTTTGATCGTCAAATCCTTGAGGGCTGAGGCTCTGAGGGTTGACGTGATTTGCCAGTCCCACAAGTATTTGTCAATTGGAGTCCACGATGTAAAAATAGATTGCAAAAAAACTAGTCAACTAGTCACAAGTATTGAGATCCGTGCATGAGACAACAAATCAAAACTACCCCTATAGATCTAACCAAAAAAGGCACCTGAATCCATCGAACTTCGAACAACTCGCGTCCTCGCACGTCTTCGCATCGGCGTCTTGGGCCACGTCCGGCCACGTCGGGCTGACCGCCCCGAGTCCGATCCTGGGGCTCCGCGCCGTCCCCAAGGGCTCCGAGGGTTGGTGATCGATCTTCACCTGGTCGTGCTCCGGTCGGTCACCGCCGGACGGGCGGTCCTATCAAGCCAATAACGAGAGGTTGTTTCGGAGGATGGACCCTATATAGGGAA